TCAAAGTCCGCCGAAACACTCCTCTGAAATCGTTTATTATAAACGGCAAGTTTATAATAAACAAGATGCAGTGGTCCTGCATCTTGACTCAGTCATCTGTGTTCTTAAGAGGAAAATATTAAAAATGGTGTTATGTCAGTGGTATCCCACGTTTTTAAAATGGAGCAACCAACTATCTACATCAGTGTTCTCATCAAGGTTTTGCCCAGGCACCAACATATGTCGCGGCTGAGCTGGTGGTTACCAGTGAGGGGAGCTCCACTTTTAGTTAGGTGAGTGAGAACTTTCTGTAATTTGGCTGAAATTGCCTTTTGTGACCTAGAGGGAGGAGTATAGGAAGAGTCTTGATGATTGATTATTTTCACAAATACATGCATTAACTTAAAGGACCAGTGTGTAGGACTTAATGCCATTGCCTTGGTTGGTTAAGGTTAGGGTGGGGTTTGGGTTAAGATTAGCCAAACAAAGGCAAAGTAAGGGGCATGACTTGACGCAAAGCTGGAGTGCTTAAAGTGAGATTTTTTGAAAATCTGGAAGGATAAAATAAGGCAGAACCACTCCCTCTGTAGATCATCATTCTATGGTAACGATAGTTACATAGTGGAATATTATATTCCATGTCTTTATTTTAACATTTCTGCCAATATCCTCCTAAATCGTACACACTGATCCTTTAAAGCAGCAAGACTTTCCTTGGCATTATTCACCTTCCATACTAAGGTGGAGTCTTGACAAAGAGGCATAGGTTTCCTACTCCTCTCTGTTCTCATGACAAACATCTGCTGGGGTCATTTCCCTCCAGAAGCAGCTGGAGAATTAAAATTTTGAAGATATGGCTGCAGAGACGGGTGACAACAAAGATTCATTTTTCAGGAAGTTGAACAAGTAAGTATTCATTTTACAATTAAATACATAGAAAGACTTGCTGTGTTAACATATATTGCTTTGAATTTTAGTAACTTTATATCAGCCAGCCTAATACAGTATTTAATTATTAATAACTCTACTACTATTATGAAGTTGATAGTAATATTACTATAGTAATATTTGGCTATCTCAGAGAAATAAATGTGTTAATAAACTATTTTTAGTGGTGGAAGAGGTATTCAAATCCGCTGTTTATGTAACAGTAGCAACACCAGTATTTAATCAATACCTAGTCATCATATGTTTTGTTTTAGAAAATGTTGAATCTGCCAGATACATGTGGAGGAGGAAAAACAAAAATCCCGCTGAAATCATGAACTTTCAATGCCTATAAAGTAGTATCAAGTTAAGTGCAAACATATGAAAATTGTACTTGGAAATACTTGTACTTACATGTACTTATTTTCCACCACTTCTGGTCTTTATAAAGAGTGACAGTAGCAGGTGTACAGTAAAGCCTCTGTTGCTTTCCAGGTCTGTACTGTGGTTCTTCTTGACAGCATCAGGACACTTCTTGAACAGCCAAAGTTTGAATGGGAGAACAACCAGCAGGTTCATGTGTCACTATTGTTTATTGTTGCTCCTTCATCAGATTAGCGACAATAAACAATAGTGAAAATGTAATTTCAGGTGCCAGAATAGTTCATATTGTATGATATATAACAGAAATAATGATAATTATATAATTATATATACTACAAAACAATGGCAAAGTCTCCTTTGATCTTGGTTAGGGTTATCTAAGCAATAAGGAGTTATATGTCTCTAAATGTATGGAGGTCGCAGTATATTATAAAAAAATCTGAAAGATCTTAAAATCAATCCTAAAACAAATATTTAATCAGTGAAATGATACCTCTCACTGACTTATATATTATTTTTTATATTATTTGTGAGAAGCAATTCTGGCAAAACTGAAACATAGGAAGGTGTGTTTATCTGCGATACACTAGAATTTTTACATTTTTTATCAGAAATGATGCGATCAAATAATAGGTAAACTATGACTATGAATCTGGTTAAGATATTTGATTTCAGCTTTCGATACTGATTGAGATTTTATGCCAAATGGTGCTCTGTCTGTCAAACACAACTTTGTGTTGATGCTGTCAAACCTCTTCCTGTTCACATAAATGCTCTCATTTACGCTGAGAGCAATGACCCTTATATAAGTGCCATTAATTGTGCCTACTACTCTTGGGAAGCTGGCTATTTGCATGAACTGTGTTTGCTTCTGTTGGATTATGCACGGTGTTGTTGGGAAGGCGATGAAACACTTGACAATGTAGAGCTGGAAGTGCCATAACTGTGCGATGACAATTCAGTTTATTGATGGTTGTGATGGCCCCAAATCATCAGCATTGTATGGCTGCATTTTTGTCCTGTGACAAGGACATTGCTGCGTAAGTCAGTGGTGAGATGAGGTCCCTCACCAACTTGCTGACAAAGATGATGCCTGCTCTCTGTCCAAACGATACTGTTTGTCTACTGCGTGTAGCCAAACAATGTAAAAACGTTCTTCCACTCCTGAAAGATTTGCGCATGTTCTTTTTTGATACTGAAAACAATATTTTGACAAATAAAACATCTTCATTCCAGGTCTACAATTGCTTTTTTTTCTGGAACTTTCAATTACATTTAACAGTCTTGGTCAGTGGAGTTTGAGCAGTTAGCTGATTTGTCATCACACAAACTACTCTAAAGCACACATTTGATTTCAGGAGAGTTGCTTATTTGCTTTCTGGTGGAGAGTTAGACAATGAAACTGCAGTCATCAAGTAAATATATACAGGTATCATCAGCAAAACCTATTTAAAGTGAGACTAATACATTTTCACAGAAGAAAAGATTGAAAAGTTGAATTCACAAGCATTAAAACTGACCCTTGCTTAGTTCAGTATAATTTTGTTTAGCTGATATAGCCTCACTCTATGATCGGTAGCTTATAGTGGCTTATGTTAAAGTTAAAGTAGATATTACTGTCTAACTGGCATTACTGACGCAGTTTGCTGACTTTTAGTCCTGCTACTCTTACACTACATTTATTGTACGCTGAGGTTTAGCAAAAGTTAGTTTTACATAATAGACTTTCTCCACAGTATTGTTCTGGTCATATAATTAGAATATCATCAAAAAGTTGATTTATTTCAATAATTCCATTCAACAAGTGAAACTTGGATAATATATTCATTCATTACACACAGACTGATATATTTCAAATGTTTATGTCATTTAATTGTGATGATTATAACTGACTAATAAAAATTAGAATATTACTTAAGACCAATACAAAAAAATTTTTAGAAATGTTGGCCAACTGAAAAGTATGAACATGAAAAGTATGAGCATGTACAGCACTCAATACTTAGTTGGGGCTCCTTTTGCCTGAATTACTGCAGCAATGCGGCGTGGCATGGAGTCCATCAGTCTGACTCCGTTGACATTGGACCTCAGAAAACACAGTGGACCAACACCAGCAGATGACATGGCACCCAAACCATCACTGGCTGTGGAAACTTTACACTGTACTTCAAGCAACGTGGATTCTGTGCCTCGCCTCTCTTCCTCCGGACTCTGGGACCTTGATTTCCAAAGGAAATGCACAATTTACTTTCATCAGAGAACATAACTTTGGACCACTCAGCAGCAGTCCAGTCCTTTTTGTCTTTAGCCCAGGCGAGACGCTTCGGACGCTGTGTCTTGTTCAAGAGTGGCTTGACACAAGGAATGCGACAGCTGAAACCCATGTCTTGCATATGTCTGTGCGTGGTGGTTCTTGAAGCACTGACTCCAGCTGCAGTCCACTCTTTGTGAATCTCCCCCACATTTTTGAATGGGTTTTGTTTCACCATCCTCTCCAGGGTGCGGTTATCCCTATTGCTTGTACAATTTTTTCTACCACATCTTTTCCTTCCCTTCCTTAGCCTCTCTGTTTTAATGTGCTTGGACACAGAGCTCTGTGAACAGCCAGCCTCTTTAGCAATGACCTTTTGTGTCTTGCCCTCCTTGTGCAAGATGTCAATGGTCGTCTTTTGGACAGCTGTCAGGTCAGCAGTCTTCCCCATGATTGTGTAGCCTACAGAACTAGACTGAGAGACCATTTAAAGGCCTTTGCAGGGGTTTTGAGTTAATTAGCTGATTAGAGTGTGGCAACAGGTGTCTTCAATATTGAACCTTTTCACAATATTCTAATTTTCTGAGATACTGATTTGGGGGTTTTCATAAGTTGTCAGTTATAATCATCAAAATTAAAAGGAATGAACACTTGAAATATATTAGTCTGTGTGGAATGAATGTATAGATTATACAAGTTTCACTTTTTGAATGGAATTACTGAAATAAATCAACTTTTTGATGATATTCTAATTATATGACCAGCATAACTGGACCATTATTGACACATTCATTTTAACTTGTTGGTCGAGAAAGAATTCGGAGTCTTTTTATGCACTTTTTGGTCTTCTAATGTTTTAAAGTGTGTCACTGTTTTTGTTTTTAGATGATCATATTTTTTTAATGTAAAATCATAACCTGGAATGTATCTACTAATTACAGCTGGAGATAAACGGTGGTGTAAAAATCCAAGGGAGGTTAAATGAAGGGCAACTGGAATGGACTGGGTTGAGATCCAAGAAACTTCTTTAGTACTGACTGACTGGCAGGGAATCCCAGATATTTAACCTCCATGATTCTGTAAGGTAACTGATCCGACACTTGGATTACATAGCTTGTGACAGTTGCTTCCCTCCTGTATTGCTTCGGTTTACATACCTGACCTGTTAGATCACTGTATAGATAAATCATTTTTATGCAGATCTGTACCTGAACCAACTGTTCTGCAGTGCTGATATTGTGTTACATTTGTCTGCTTCCCTGGTCTTACCAAGAACTGAACATACTGTACTTTGTAGTAAACTTTTATATAGTTGTTACATTTTAATTTCACATTGTGATTGTGTTATTTTGCTTTTATTATTATTATTTTATTTTATGTTTCCATTATGGTTCTAGTGTACAGTCCACAACCTTGAACACTTGTGTGGGAAAAAATAAAGAAATCACAGAAATGAATCCTCAATCAAACATTCCAAGTTTCTTTTAATTGACGTGACAAAACCTCTACATGTTTTTGGGGAAAAATGTGCTTCAATCAAGTTTGTAGGGTATTACTTTTAAAGAAAATTGTAAAACTTTGGAATACATCCATTAAAAATAACTTAAATAAATAAAATTCTGGACAACATCAACTCATACCATGTAAAAAATAAGACCATCACCACCTAGATTTCGAACATTATAAACAAGTGCAAAGACTGAAGAGTTAACAAGTGAGACCTGAATTACGAACAAAAAGCACGTGTACGCTGTGGTTACAGTAATAGAGGCCTTGCATGTTTTTGCTTGTGCTTTGAATCACTCACTTTTAGTCCAAGTACAAAATAATTAAATACTAGCAAAAACATCTTCTGGAGGAAGATTTTGTGTAACTCCCACCAGGTCAAGATCAGAGATCCATTTTTGTTCCTTGGTTCCTGAGCTTCCTGGTTTTAGTAGTGTCATGGCTCTATTGGAAATAATCACAAAGACACTCTGGTAGAGGGACACAACACACACAGACACACAAACACATAAACACACTTGTATGTTCCACTATTCCTGTGGGGACATAATGCATTCCCTAGCACCTGAACTGTAACCTGAACCCTAAAACAATGTTTTAACCATAGAAAAGCTGTCTCTACCTGTGGAGACCTCAATTTTTGTCTCCATGGGTTAGTGTGCATTCAGGTTAAAGTCCCCACCGGGATATAAGAACATGAAAAACACTCACACTGACTCACACTGACTCACACACACACACACACACACACACAGACACACACAGACACACACACACACACAAACACCACTACAGCCTGCAGGTCTGTATGTATGAAGAATGTAAAAGTATTTGAAGTATATACAGAGGCAAACGGAGATCTGAGTGAGCCTGAACAGGCTCTCTTCTGTCATCTGGAAACACACAGCCATTACTAAAACAGTTTCTGCATGAATGTCTTTGTTTTCTCTTCTGGATATTCCTCTGTCAGTCTGTCCTCTTGGTTTCACAATGATGGACAGTTTCAGGTCTCTGGATCAGACAAAGTGCATTTTAGATTCACTTGTGAATGTGACTTAGAAACTACTGTAGGCCTATATGGTTAACTTTTTGTACAGCCCTTTGAAAATTGGAATTTAAATGTGTTTGTTTGGCGAAGTTAGTTATCTTTACTCTTTGGATTTCTTCTTTCTACATGCATTCCAGTAAAGACACTTACAGTAATATTATAGTGTTTTGTTTAATCTGAACTCAAGTGCAAAAACAACAGCACACAACTCCTTGTAAAAGCACATCAAACTTAAAAAGATATAATGTGTTAACTAGGGAGCATCAGAGGTGCAGAGTTTGTTTCCTTTGGACATAGCCTGTTTCTCCCTGCTTCCCGTCTTTATGTTAAGCTAATCTCCTGGCTGTAGCTTCACGTTTTACAAAAGTTCAAGTAGTATCAATCTTGTCGTCTAATTCTCAGCAAGAGAGTGTATCAGCCTATTTCCCCATAATGTCGTACTAGTACCAAAGTGAAAATGGAAGCAACATTTGTGCAACGAATGCAGTGTATAGCGGACTATAGAAAGATAAAAAACAAGAGAAGGAATTACACTGGAGATAATTGATGAATCTTCCCAGGTATAATAACACTAAAGTACATCTCTCATATCTCACTGTTAATCACAAGGATTTGTCAGTTGATTATGCTATCATGATGGACAACAGTGACTTCTTACCTACGCCATCAGCTGATTCGTCGGCCAGGGGGTCGGAGTTTATTACATACTTGCTACCAAATATGTGTACCAACTGATCAAAGAACTTGCATTCTTGTTTGTCTCCTCTGGAAACAGGAAACAGAATTTCAGAGCTTATTATAAGGATGAAGAAAGCTGTGCCACAGATAAATGTGTAGAGCAGCAGTGGACCAAAGGTTAACCAAAGTTATGAGGTTTTGAAAAATTCTGAGAGAATGAAATTGCATTAAGAATGTAGATGTTAAGACCTACAGCATGATCTAACTACATGGCCATTCCCCAACAGTGAACACTGGTTACTTACTTTCTGCCTTCTAGGAAGTGTCGGAAATTGACCCTCAGCCTCTTTATCCTGGTCTGACACTGCTCAGGAGTGCGCATGTAGCCCTGGCTGGCCATGACCTCAGAAATCTGGATGAAGATGTGTTTGTTCTTGGTGCAGCCCTTCAAGTTCTCCTGGATCTCCTCGCTCCCCCATATGTCCAGGAGGGCCTCGGTCTCGCCATCGCTCCAGGGCAGCTTAGAGCTGTCAGCCACCCAGTGGGTACCTGATGCAAAAAGAACATGAAAAAAACAACAACTATATAGCATAATTACAACAGAGAGAAAAGCTTTACAGGCACTTATAGATTGACCTGATTGTTAGAAAAACGTGAATAATCTGACATATAGTTTAATGTTTAGAGAAAAGCAGAAACGTAAAAAAGTAGATAGAATTAGAATAATATTTTGTTTTTAGTTAGTTTTTTAACTCTGTTTTTTATAAATTTAATTTTATAGTTTATATTTATATACCTTTATATTTATTATTTATATGTGAATTTCTGCTTTAACAACATTGTTTACATAAACATTCATGCCAATGAAGCATAGTGAATTGAAATTATTTAGAGGGAGATTTACTTGCGCGCACTTGCTCACTTGTATTACTACTCACTTTAATAGAACAATTTTCAGAAAATAGGATGAGAAGCACAGAAAGCTGTGTAATAAAATGCGACACGACTGAAACACAAAGCATGGAAGAAAAAAACACACAAATAAAAAGACAATTAAGAAGGAGGATTTGAAGGAGGAAGAGATTTTAGTCCAAAACCTAATTTATTTTCTCTTCTGTTGTATTTAGCTGCCTGTGTTTGCGGAACGTCATTGCTCCCCACTCCCTGTATTCACATAATAATCTAAATGTATTGTATAATAAACCAAACAATTATCAGATGTGTCCATCTGGCATTATACATTTTTATAAATGTATTACAAACTTAGTTTGATCCTGCATTCTTGGCATCCAATGGTGTTGCTTCACATTTTGAAAATGAATCACAACCTAGTAAGTGTCACCTTTCTTCTGACCAGGCACTAGTGGGAAGTCATCCAGCTCATCTGCGACAGACGTGTCTGCGTCTGAGCTGTCCACTTTCAGCTCCTTCCTGAAGATTTCATCCATCTCGCTGAAAAATTTAAATTCCTCCCTAAATTTAAAAGGTGGAAAGAAAAAACGTTACCACAGGACAGATTTACACATTTATATTTGTAGCCTGGGATTAGCAGACAAATCACATTCAAATCCCAAACGTTTTCCATTTAAAAACTGCTGCTTTATCAAACCAAATCCTCCTTACAGGGTTTGTTTTAGAATTGACATAAAGTACTGATGCTACAAAGGACAGACTGTTCCTCTTTTACAAAAAAAAAGTGTCAACTGCATTCGATGCCTTTGTGTGTATTTGGATTTAAAAAAAAAAAAGAATCATAGTTTTGTCATCACTGACTTTTCATGGAGGAAGCCGTGTTTGAGGCGCTTAATGCGGGAGTAGCACTGCTCTGAGGTCCTTATGAATCCTCGGTCGCTCATCTTGTCGGAGATGTACACAAACACGTGACGGTTCTTCAGGCAGCCTCTCAAAGTGAGCTGGACGTTGTCTTCACCCCAGATCTCCAGCAGGGTGCGAGTCTCCTGGTCCGACCAGGGCATCTTTCTGCTCAGGTCGGCCAGGAGGTGTCCGGCTGAGGGCTGCTCGTCTACGTGGAGGAATAACAGATTTAGTAGTGGATTTGAAACTCTCAATGACAATACGTATAATTGTCCAAAGTTGTGAAGACACAAATTGCACTTATTACACGTATTTTATCATATTTAAACCTACAAATGTCAGGATCCTTGTCCATTAGGGGTTGCAAGGGGACGTCTGCAGCAATACTGTGCACCTCAGCATGCACAGAGTCATCACCGAGAACTGGAGCCAGGAGGTGAAAGTATCGAAACACCGTGGGCCGCCCTCCATTTCTGGAAAACGTAAATCAAAGGAAAGCTGGGAAACACATCTGCTGGAGTTAAAAGTCTCTAGAAATTTAACTAAAAATGCCCAAGTTTCAGCTGACTTTTTTGACCAATTTATTTATTTTTATGTTTTTACAAATATTTTAAATAATAAAGTCTTCCAAACAACCTCTCATCGGTTTTATTTACCTCCGGGTGTTGAGGTAACGCCTGTAAGTCTTCTTCAACCGCTTGATCCGGGAGTGGCACTGCTCCGTCGTCCTCGGGTATCCCATGGCACTCATTTTCTCTGCAATGTCGGCGAATATGTGCCCGTTGCGGACACAGGTTTTCAGGCTGTGCTGCACGTCATCTGCAGCCCACAGCTCAACAAGAGTGACCGTCTCCTGCTCCGTCCATGCTGTGTTCACAGTATCTGCACCTGCTGATGATACAGCAGTCGGAAAGGCTGAATGTTTATCTAACGGAGCATTTCTTCTACTGCTGTGTGAATGAATGAGTATGACTGTACCTGGATCCTGTTCTACTTGATCGTCTCTTTCATCGAACTCATCAATAGAAATTGCCTCCTGTCCAAGTATTTGTTCCAGCTGCTGGTAGAATTTATAATCTACTCTTCTTCCACATCTTCAAGGCAGAAAAAGACGGAAATATGAACCATTATCTTCATACTGGATTATGTTTACAAACAAAAAAGGCAGATAGACAGAAAGATTGATCTCACTTCTTCTTGTCGTAGCACTGTCGAAAGTTGTTCCTTAGCGACTTGACTTTCCAGCGGCACTGCTCCGAGGTTTTTGTGTAGCCGAGGTCTTCCATTCTCTCAGAAATGTCGGCATAAACGTGTCCGTTGTGGACAAAACCTCTCAGCGCCCTCTGAACGTCTTCGTCGCCCCAGATCTGGATAAGCGCCAGGGTCTCCTCGTCTGACCACGAGCTAGGTGCTGGTTTTTCTGTTGACATGCTGTTGAGTTCTCCATCTTATAGTAGAAATACAACATGTGTCAATGTACTGCCCTGGTTTTGGTGTGAATGCAGTTTCACAGTTACTGTAATTTCAGCCAAGAAATTTGATTCGTAACAAATAAATTCTTGCTCCTACAAACGTCAAGTTAAATCAATAAGCAATAAAACACACCCATTTTTAACTTAAAACACTTGTTGGTTTAAGTTGGTTTTGGTGCTACAGCCTCTTGATCAGTAGCTTATGATGGCTAATGTTAGCAAATTTTAAATTATCCTGTAATTGTCAATGGCCAATACATTTTCATACAATAATGTTTTTAACTCAGCTTGCGTACAAATTCAATTCAAAATGCTCAATATTGCACACAGATGCACATGTCTATTTACTGTACACTTACAGTAAATGTACATTTTACTGTATTACTTAATATGACTTATGTGTTGGATTGTCTTCCAAATTTTAAAATGCTCAGTTTTGCACCTGACTAACCATATACAAGCTCATATATTTGATAGATGTATGTGTATTCATTTTTTTCATTATGTAATTCCAGAAGATGCCCTCCATTTACTGCCATTGATTTTATAATTTAGCCATTATTATACTGTACTGAATATTAAAACATTGCAGGATGAATGACACCTGAATAATTAAAGCCCTAGCACCCAACTAGCAGTGAGACACTAGAACAACCCCATAAGAGCCTGAACGCAACACTAAATTCAAGCTAATCAGCCCATTAGCAACCACACACACTTTCTACAGGAAATAAATTAAAATCATTTTCATAATTAATTAAATAATTTATTTTTAATTCATGCGTTCATTGTTTTGTCTGTAAAACATCAGAAAAGAGAGAAAATGTTCAAATGTCATTTTCCCAAAGCCTAAGTTAGCCCTTGTTTAGTCAGACCAAAACAATTTATTTACTATATTATTTGTATTACAGAGAGAAAAACAACAAATACTCACATTTGGTAAGCTGGAACTAGAGAATGTTTCATATTCAAAAATGAATTTACTATCAAAATTGTAGGAAATTAATCAACTACTTGTTTCAACTCGACATGAAATGCTTTCTTAGTTTTTGTTCTTTTGTACTACTTGAACACTTTTCAAACACTTAACATTGTCAGTGACAATAATATAAAACTGTAGGATTGCTGAATATTGCTGCCCTTCTATCCATAAGCTGATGATTTCTTACCTGTTTCAGTCACTGATTCAACGTTGGAGTCTTCTGATATTTCGATGGAGTCCGTTACCACAGTGGAAGATGTTGATGGCTGCTTGTCGAGGATTTGTTCCAGCAGATCATAGAATTTAAAGTCGACTCTATCAGTCCCAGATGAGCTACAGGCAGTAAAGGCAGTTATATTAACACGCACATATCCTGCCAACAGTGCCGCATACAAACTAAATATTTATGTACAGCTTTTACCTCATATTTTCCTGACACTGCCGGTAGTTGGCTTTCAGCCGTTTGATCCTGGTGTGGCACTGCTCTGCGGTGCGGGAGTAGCCGTTGGCGCTGAGTTTCTCTGATATTTCGTTGAAAATGTGACCATTGTGTGGGTAACGTCTCATGCTCTGCTGAGCCTAAATGGTAATATAAAAAAACATTTTTACAATTACTTTTATCACACCTGCATCCCCCATTTCAGGATTGGATACTTTTCATTCAGTTTTTTAAAAACATGTTATTCTGTTTGTCGCCTCAGGCTAGAAAACTATCGCTTTTCAGATGATTTAATGGTCAATATGCTTCTGAGGGTCTCTGTTGCTAGAGACACTCAAGAGTTTCACTGTGCTGAACAGAAGGAAAAGATCCTGCATGATCAAACCTTTAAATAATATTCAGAGAAGGTGTAGAGTTAAGGTTAGCATGGTTTCAGACCTCTGGATTGCTGGGTACATCAGCAATTCAAATAAAAAAGGATTGATGAAGTGAAGTGAGAAAGCAGTTCTGCATAAATATGTCATAGATGGAATGAATTTCTATTCTTATTTTGTCCTCTACCCGTGGGTCTCCCCAGATCTCCAGAAGGATAATGGTCTCTTTGTCCGACCAGGGAACCTTCTTCCTGTCATCCTGAGCACCCACAGCAGACTCTGAAGAGACACAAATAGAAAAGAAAACACTTCATTTGATTACTTTATTTAGTTGATTCTGCCACCATCTATTCATTGGCCACTTTACTGTTGTTGAATTTATATTTGACTACAAGGTTTTGGAACAATAAAGATTAACTGAAAAAAAGTATACTGTACATACCATTAAAGCTATATTTAAGCATTAAAAGTTATTCTTTTTATGACAGCTGGAAACTTTGTTGCCTTTCCGACTTACAACATAAATTAACAAACTAAGTAATGAATAAAAATTAACCGTTCTGAAAAGAGATAGATGTAGTTACAAACATCATCAAATAAGGAGCAGGCTTAGTAAGAGAAACCATCATAAAGAGACTATGCATTCCGTATTTTAACTGAATTTGACAAGAACAACATTTTGGAGGCTATAGCGCCTCCCTGAGGGCAAAAGCTCAAAGTTTGAAAAGGTTGCATCCTGTATAATCTGAAGCTGTGTTCTTTGTGCTTACTTTAGTTTTCTTGCTTAGCTTCATCTAGGCCCCCTTATATTTTATCAGCCATACCACTTCATCATGTTAAAGAATTCAATACACCACTGTCTTAAACCCACCAAATTACTGTCTAAAAACTGTTTTTCACTAAAGGTTAAACTACAACTTCGGACTATGTCAGAAGTTATAGTTTAACTTTTACTGGTTTCTATATATTTCCACATATTTTTGTTTTTACATAATATCCCTGAATGCATTTCTTGCCACCAGATGTGAGGGGCACACAGGGGTTAGTCAGTGCATAAATGATTAGGCGGCAGGGTGACATAGGGTTAGGGCTGAACGATTTAAAAACAGAATCTTATTTTGACTGATGTTGCAATTGCAATATGATAAATTTTACATCATTATTCTCTTTTTAATTGAAAAACATATTAAAATAAATTATGGTGTGATTTTTGTGGGGAGATTTAGATAAAATGTACTGTTCCGTCCTACACAGAATGACTTAAAACACCTCAGTGTATTTTCTGAGTTCCCTTCCCACAACCCCGGCAGTCAGTAGTAAACATTTGAGTTTACCGATATCCTGATGGGAGAAGGAAGGAAAGTCGTTGTCTTCAGCCTCTCCTGGTATTTCATCCAACTGCTGCATCGAAGAGAAGTCCTTCACCAAAATTCTTCCCAGCTCATTGTAAAACTTGCACTCAACTCGCTCCTGTCCCTTCATGCTACAAGGGATAAGAAGACAGCAGAGGTATACTGTAAAAGCAACATAAAAATTTGAATTTTTTCTTTCACTCTTGCTTTAAGCATACGTACTTGTTTTGGTAGCACTGCCTGAAACTTGATTTCACTCTTTTCAGCCTTGTTTGGCACTGCTCTGGGGTTCGGGAGAAGCCCTGGGCGGCCATCTTGTTGGATATGTTGGAGAAAACGTGTCCCATTCTGTGCGTTCCTCTCAGCTCCTGCTGCGACTTGTCTTCTCCCCACATGTTGATGAGGGTCAATGTCTCCAAGTCTGTCCATGGAACGCTTCGAGTTCCTTTAATAAAAATATGAAAGCCGTGTAAAACATATTTACAAAATCCTTTTGTCAACTAAAATAAATATTAATGCTTCCTTTGAGTTTAATTTTAATCAAATACATCCATCCATCCATCGTCAACCGCTTATCCTGTGTACAGGGTCGTGGGGGGCTGGAGCCAATCTCAGCTTACATCGGGGCGAAAGGCGGGGAACACCCTGGGCAGGTCGCCAGTAGAAATGAATCAGCAATTTCAATGATAGAGTAATCGTTTCAGTCATTTCTCAAGCAAAAGTGCGAAACATTCTCTGGTTGCAGCTTCATCAGTGTGAGAATTTGATGTTTTTATATGATAGTAAACTTATTATAGTTAAAGTTTGGACTGTTGGTCGAATAAAACAAGCAATCATGAATACATGACCTTGGGTTATGTTATTTAACCATGACATTATTATGGGCATTTTTCACAATTTTCAGTTGCAGCCCTAACTAAACACAACCAAAAAACAATAACTGTGTGACTCTACTACGCCAAGTTAAGTTATCATCTAACACTAGCAATGGTTTCACTGACTCAACAAGTACAAATATGTGACATTGTACCAATTTCCAGTCCGCTCGTATGGCCGAGAAACTGCATGTCGTCATCACCGTCGTGGGACTCCTCTTCATCGATGACCTCTTCAACATCATAGGTGACCTCAGGAACAGCTGAAGGAGCTGAGGAGCCGAGTATTCGCTCCAGCGGCTCATAAAATTTATACTCCAGCCTGGAGTTCCCTCTGGGTTTAGATCAGGGAAAAGGCAATTGCTTCAATTTCTTTTTTCTCTATTGTTCCACAAACCACAGCTATGACATCTAAGGTATGAGGCTACCATGGTGAACATGGTAAACATTATACCTGCTCAGTGTGATGAACACGGTACATGCTAACATTAGCATGTACCAAGCAGAAAGGAAGGACGGTAATTCATTTTATACCCACTTGTTGTGGCGGAAGCATTTCTTCAGTCGTTTGATCCTGGTCTGGCACTGTTCCACTGTTCTCATGTAGCCTCTCTCTGCCATCTTTTGTGCGATCTGCGTGAATATGTGACGGTTTTTTAAGCAGCCCTTTAAAGCCCGCTGCACCGAGTCATTCCCCCAGATGTCGAGCAGATTGAGTGTCTCCTCGTCTGACCAGGGAACTTTTGTGTCCATTACAACTGGGACAGAACCTTCCGGAGAGTCTAAAATGAAACAAGAAGTGTTAGTCAACGGCCAAAGCTTAGACTGATATACCAAAGTATCCACTGATCTATACATAAACTGTACAAACCTGTATATTCTCCCCATATCGAGATTAGAGGAGATTCACCTGAATTCTCATCATCCACTGACGAATCCCTGTAAAAAGTAAAAAAACAAACACACAATGGGTAAGATTTTGACATCTTTTTATAATCTTATCAAAGTGATTTATCTAATTTTGTGATCCACCAAAAATGTGTTAGGACCTCGGCATAATTCAGCCACAAAGCATGTATGTGCAATAAAAAAAGGTGGTACCAATGAGCGTTAAACAGATTTAAAGCCACAGGTTTACACAGTAAGGATTTTCAGAAGACAAAATGAGATGGAGTACATGAGCTGCAACCAACTGTCAACACGAGTCTACAGTATGCCCTACTGTGATGTAGGGCATACTGTACTGCAACGTGATGTGCTGAGCTAAATGCTAACGTCAGTACGTTAACAAGCTCACAATGACGATGATGCTGACGTTCAGTAGGTTATGATTTGCTGGACAGAATTTTTCACTTTTCCCGAGATTAAAACAACTACAGCCATGCTAGCCGCTCTGCAAAACTGCACTAAACTAAATGCTAATGTTAGCATGTACCATGTTCATCACACTGATAATGCTAACTGATGTTTAAAAGGTATAATGTTTACCATGTTCACCATCTTAGTTTAGCATGCAGGAATGCTAAGATTTGCTAATTGGCCTTGAAAACAAAGCACAGCTGAGGCTGATGGGAATCTATGTGGTCATAAACCAAAGAAATGGACACATCTACAGTTTGACCTGATGATGGCACCATATGAAAAGTTGGGATCTTCAAGTCATGATGCTTTGTTGTCTGGGAACAATGAATGTCTGTACAAAATTTTGTGCCAATCTATCAATAAGATAATTTTTTCACAGAATAAGTGAAAACATTGATACCATGGATATCTGTACCACATTTTAGAGGCAATCCATCCAATATAATAAATATTTAAATCTCGATCAAAGTGGTGGACCAACAGAGTGACACTGCCGTCTTTAGAGCCATGCTGCAATGTGGCTGAAAAGCAAAAG